CCCAAGCTGATTTTCCACAAATTCTCATAAGCACACATACACATTCATTCTTAAACTTGAAAAAAGCTTAATACATTAGGGCAGATAAAACAAAGAATGATAACATGAGTACAAAATTACTATCCCACATTATTTACACTTTCAGTTTCTCACACTAGAGAAACTATTTGGTATTTACACGTGTCCTGTTTATTTCACCTCAATGTGCATCCATTTAGCAAAAAATGTCTCTAATTTCTCATTTTTGATGGCTGAGTAGTACTCCATTTTATTAAAAAACACATTTTCTTGATCCAATCTCCAGTTGATGGACATCTGGGCTATTTCCAAGTTTTAGCTATTACAAACTGTGCTGCTATGAACATGGGTGCACATATATCACTGTGGTATGATTCTTTTAGTTCTTTGGGGAAGATTCCCAGCAGGGGAATAGCTGGGTCAAATGGGACTTCCAGTCCTAGTTCTTTGAGTTATCTCCATACTGATTTCCACAGTGGTTACACCAGTCTACATGCCCACCAGCATTTGTTGGTTGATTTCATGATAGCAGCCATTCTTTCTGGAGTGAGGTGGAATCTCAGTGTTGTTTTCATTTGCATTTCTCGAATGACCAGTGATGTTGAACATTTTTTCATATGTTTATTTGCTGTTTCTACTTCTTTGTCTGAGAAATGTCTGTTCATTTCAGATGCCCATTTTTGGATTGGGTCTTTAAATTTGGGAGGTCTGATTTTTTTAAGTTCTTTATAGATTTGAGATAGTAGACCTTTGTCTGAGGGATCGCTGGTGAAAATTTTTTCCCACATTGTGGGTTGTTTCTTCACACTGCTGGTGGTTTCTCTTGCTGTGCAGAAGCTTTTTAGTAAAAAGAGATCCCACTTGTTGATTGTTTGTGCTAGTTCATGGGCAACTGAGGTGTTGTTCATAAAGTCTTTTCCTACCCCAATGTCTTCAAGAGTTTTACCTAATCTCTGTTCCAGCCTGTTCAGCGTTTCTGTTTTTATATTTAGATCTTTAATCCATTTCGATTTTAGTTTAGTGCATGGTGAGAGATACAGGTCTAGTTTTAGTCTTTGGCAAGTTGAAACCCAATTTCTCCAGCACCATTTATTAAAGAGACTATCTTTCCTCCAGCGAGGGTGTTTGGCTTCTTTGTCAAAGATGAGGTGGCTGAGTGTGTCTGGGGTTGTTTCTGCATCTTCTAATCTGTTCCACTGGTCTGCAGGTCTGTTTCTTTGCCAGTACCATGCTATTTTTATCACAGTAGCTTTGTAGTATAGTTTCAAGTTGGGGGTTGTAATACCCCTTTGACATGTCTCTGTTACCTGGAATTGCTTTTGCTATTCTGGGTCTCTTCTAAAAGGTATAAAAGGTATAAATGACTAAAAGGTATAGTAGATAATGTGAAACAGGAAGAAAAGGGCCAAAGGGGAGGGGGAAGTGGGAGGGGTAGGGAAAAGGAAAGAAGGGAATGGAATTAATATGAGAAAATGGAAACAAAGTCTTTGCAAATAGGGAGGGATGGAGGGGTTGAAGGGAGGGCAGAGGAAGGGGGAAAAAATAAGAACCAAGAGAGTATGTAATGGTGCATATCTCCAAAGATGAATGTCATTATATTGTACATCTAAAATGTACCAATAAAAGGATATACAAAAAAATAAAGAAAAGAAAAGAAAAGAAAAATATAGTGTTTTCCAGATGATCAAAAGCCGAGAAAGCTCATCATCACTAGACTTACCTTACAAGATATTTTAAAGGGAGTTGAACATCCCTGAAATTTCAAGTTGAAATCAAGACTCCAAACAGCAAAACAGAAGCATATGGCAGTATAAAGCTCAGAAATGAAGGTAAACATAGAGACAATACATAACACTGTAGTACTTTAATGATGGTACAAAAATAACTTTCTGTTCTGTCATAAAAGTTTAAAAAAAATTACTATCCCAAAATAATAGAAAAAACAAGTGGAGCCTACTCAAAAAATCTCATATTTAGTCATTAATAAGCACTGTGTCATTCTCAATAAAATTACTTGACATTTTCATTTTAATAATCTCCATAGGTTTTTTAAATTTCCTACTTCATTAGCTCAGTACATTAAAAGACACTCTTCAGTAAAACTAAGCAGCAATAAATTCACAAGTATTCAGAAAGTGATTTATCATCACAAAACTGTGAAAGTAACAGATTCCTACCACCAAGAGTCATTTTAGAAAGCTTAGTAAAATCTTTTGGCTAAGATCAAGTGTAGAAAGCTTAGTAAAAACCTCAACCTAGTCACAAAAAAGACTAATACACTGGAGAAATGTATCAACACATCTTTGTGACTACAACTTAATAATATTCAGTTGCCATTTCAATTGAAAACCTTCTAATCAATAATTTCTAGGACTATAACTTGTCTATGGTTTAATACAAAATTTAAATATTGTCTTACTAAAAATTTAAATGGAGAAAAATAACTAGCATTTCTTCTTTTTAAAAAAAGGTTATATTTCATCTTAGATGGCTAGTTTCTCCAACCATACACAGATTTTATTCTAAATTCCATTAGGCTCCCAAAGCAATTAGTAGTCCATACAATATCAATTTGCTGATATTTTTGTATAAAAACCTTCCCACAAACTGTCTAATTGTTCCATTACTGTAATTTTTCATAATAATAGAAAAATCACTACCATCACTTTCTGCTGATAGAAACATTCTCAGCCTAATAAATCCAAAACTTTTTAAAAACAAAATTTTTCTTCATTTACTGAATTTGCTTTTCTAAAAATCAAATATAAAATTTGGTTATCAAGCTAAAATTTCATAATTGCAAAAAGTGTGGCTTGACTATGATTCTTTCAAAAAGAAAAAAGACATGAGGAGGATATGGATAAATGTATAAACCACCAACCCTATCAGAGAATCTTAAAATGAAACTTGAGAAAAATTACATGAACATATTTCTATGTAAGTAATGAAGACAAACAGATATGGCTGAAGTCCTTCTAAGTCTCTAAGGTTGTCCAGCTTAGTCCAGTAATAGAGGAATGCCTACAAAGCTAGGATTTGGTTCCCTGAGCTACTTTTCTAAAACTCGAACTGCTAAAAACAAGTCTTTCACAACTTTGCTTTACTGTTAATTAGATAATTTTATGTTGCATTGTGTTTTCTGTAATAGAGACTATAACAGGATAAATTAACATGATGAAAATGTAGAAATGTCAAAATGATGCCAATTAGTATAATGGTAGCAGGTTTTTCTAAGATTCAAAAAATAATCTGTATGCTGGGTTTTTAAAAATCCACATTCTTTTAAGTGAATGTCTAAATCATTCAATTTATTTCCCAAGCAATTTAAGATCAGGTTGTCAACATAAAAGAAGTATTTTTTCCCCAACCTTCTAAGACTTTTAGTATCTCATCTCTGCCAAAAAGCCTACTTAATGGCAGACAATTTGCAAACATCAAATCTAAGATTACAGTTTCAGTAAAGGTAGAAGAAAGAAATTAAAGTTCACTTTAAGTATTTATTTTGGCATAGTCTGAACAGGCTACTTTAAAAATGACTGACACTGAAGGCTCCATTTTGCCATCACTCGTGCTGCATGCACCAGTTTTCACAGTACTTTAATTAAGAGACAGACATAATGACTATCATTTATAGTATGCAAATTCATTACTTCTTTGTGAAGTTTTGACATCTTGCCTCATGTCATGTATTTGCAAACTAAATATGTGTTGCATTAAAAAGATCAGAACAAAGAAACTGGAGTAACGGCTTTCAAACTTATGTTTTCACAAAACAAGAAAACAACTATGTAAGGGCTGCTTATAATCTATGACTGCTAGAGTCAATTTTAACACCACTAGATCTTCAAATTTTCTTCAAAATGTTACAACCTTACTGTATCCTAATTATACATACTTTAACATTATTATTAACTCCAACAAATAAACCACAAACAAAAGTACCTTAAATAGTGACAATGCCTAATTAACTTTTTTTTTGCTACCAGGGATTGAACTCGGGACCTTGCATTTGTGAGGTCAGTGGTGGAACCACTGAGCTAAGTCCCCAGCCCACCTAATTAACTTTTTTTTTGGTACCAGGGATCGAACTCCGGACCTTGTGCTTGTGAGGCAGGCGCTGGAACCACTGAGCTAAATCCCCGGCCCACCTTATTAACTTTTGATAACAACTAAAATAATATTTCTATTACCTATATACTTAATCCAATAAATATCCATCAATAAATACAGTTATTTTATCGTAGACCCATGGCAAATAAAAGGGCTACTAAGAAACAGAAAGAAAGTATTCAATTTTATACTCATTATAATTAGAAATCAATTTCATCAAATCCTTTCACATAAAGCTATTTTTCCAAAAAATTGTCAGTTTTTTAAATTCTTCATTTTTGATCATAGCACTTCCTTGTTCTTAAAGCTTTATATTTGATAACTTTATAAGAAAATATAATAACAAGAATAGCAAATAGTAAAGATTCACTCAAAAAACTATTTCTCCATATTAATGCATTGAATGGGCCAGGAGATAATTCAGAATTTTAGGGGCTTTTTAAGCACTTTAAGAAAAATATAACAATCTGTTTAAAGAAAATAACCTTCATCTCTCTAACACAAATATATTTCTATTCAAATATTCCTATACATCCATGTATTTAATGTAAAGAGACAATAATGAATATCTAACACTTTTGATCACTTCTATGTACCAGGAATGGTGCTAAATGCATTATGCTTATACTAATCCTCACACCAACTGTAACACTATTTTATTTACAAGGTTCCAAAACAAATAGGTTAAAGCAATTTACCCAAAGCCACACAGCCAAAATTTAAACCCAGATAGTCTGTTGCCATATCTGATTTCTGAATCACCATACTATGTGGTACCTAAAGTACCTCAAGTATCTAGTACAATGATTGATGCCCAGTAGGTACTAAATAAAGGTGCAACTCTTATCATAATATTTCTCTTCTTTACTTACTTTGTGATAATTCTGGATTTCCTTTCAGATTCATCATCTTTGGAACTGATGGACCATACACATCGGCATCTAACAGACCAACGGCCTTTGACTATAAGAAAACAGAATTCACCATAAGACTATTCCCATTCTTCACAAAAGATTAAGCACAGAGCAATAATAAGACTGATTACTGAAAAGAAAATTTGTAAAATATTTCAATACCATAACCTAACTTTCAAAGCAACAGTAAATAATAGCATAAATTGTTTTCAGTATTTTTTGATCTACTAACATATTCCAGATAACTGACCAGAAAAATCCATCTTTTTAAAGCTAATAACCTAATGTTCTCAAGGAACATTCTTTGAGAAATTCTGACACATTTAATAAACAAGAGAACGTCGTTCAGTTAAAATAGAATAAATTTACTATGAACAAAAAGATTTCAAATGAGGGGCCTAAAACTTTAAAAATGAGGCTGCTAACACTACAATCTAAGGTTCTACTAATGCTGTTAACTGTCTTCCTATAATTTCAATTGTTTTCTGCATGTTTTCTGTGATACCTAGTAGGATTATAAGCTACCACAAAATAATAAGAGACACTAATAAAAACAAAAAATGTAAGATCTCTTTTCCTTCTCTTACTGATACCAATTTTGGATTTGCAGTAACTTGAAGAACTTAGGTACCAAGTTTCAAATTGGCTTTCTAATAATGACTGTCAAGTAAAATAACTTAGCCTTTTATGTCTGCATGAAACAGAACATAACCAAATGTTCTAACTTAAAGACAACTGCCAGGGTCAGCTTCCGTATGATTAGATCTGCAATCAAATTTCCTTCAAAATCTTAGGGAGAATGTATTATCTACCTTGCCTTCTAGAAAAAAAATAAAAATTTAAAAAACAGTCCCGTCAAAGATGAACCCTTTGCACCATGGTCCAAGAAAAAAAGATCTGAACTAACATTTGCTGTGGTAGGACTGGACTCTATATATACTAAGCAAATGGTTGCCAATATACATTACCACACATAAATAAAGGGGAAGAGGGAGACTGAAAGAATACTTTGGAGTTCCTTTACTTCCCAGAGTTCCTAACAATAACTTAGAATCTTCTATGTTTTGGGATATCTGCCTACTCTCTCTATAAGTAGTTACCCAAAGTTAATACCTGTAGTCCCAATGATTATACACATCAAAAAGGAAACGGAAGGAAAGTTGAAGATGGGCGGGGGGAGGAGAGGAGAATAAGGGACAAAGGCAGGGAAGGGAGAAAGACAGAAAAGATGAAAGAAAATTAATCAGCAATGATATATAAAGACTCTGAATACATTAGGCCTCTACAAGCTGTATCTATGAACAAATCAGAATCTAAAAACATACCATTTCAGTCACCCAGACACCAAGACTTTCATTGATTATATCTCCCCATTGCTTAAATTCCTTCTGGGTCCTAGACACTAATCTAAGTATTTTATTTACATTTCTCATTTAGTCCTTACAACAAGGTAGTAGTAACCCTACATATGGATAAGAAAGCTTTAAAATAACCATGTTTTGCTTCTTTTTTTGTATTCTTTCTTAGAATGGATAAAATGAAAATACTAACTTCACAAACCTCCTCCAGAACTTTAACACAATATAATTACAAAAGACTTAAATATAAAGAGTATTTTTTTCTTAAAGAGCCAACTAATAAGGATTTTAAGCTTTGCAGATCATATGATCTCAATGGCAACTACTCAACACTAAAATTGTAACATCAAAGCAGCCATAAACAATACATAAATGAGCCAGGGAATAGTGGAACAGGCTTTTAATCCCAGCACTCTGGAAGGCTAAAGCGGGAGAATCACAAGTTCAAGCCCAGCTTAGATAACTTAATGACTTAGCAAGGTCATAGTTTGCTGACATCTAATTTAGAGAATACACTTTTGTCATTACCAGCTTACTCAAACATCCAACAATGTAATTTTCATGGAGCTAAGAGTGGGCAAAACATAATTACACTATCTCTTTCCATGTCAGAGGAACTGTCTCAGTAAAGATTTACTTCCTCATTCTTAACTGGCTAATTTTTTAAAATAATAAAGGGAAGAGTTTTCAGACTATTTCCCTGGAACTAAGTTAACATATCTTGCTTAGATTTTATATATCATGAATAAAATTATCAACCAAAGCCTACACTGCCCAAATAATATTATACATAGAATTGGCATAGCAATTGGACCAGTACAATTATCACTGCTATAAAATAAACTTAAATGGATTTTCAAGTCTAGAATTCAGGCACATTCAAAAGGTACCAAATACACTTCATTGGTTCTTCATAATTTACTCTATTATTTTAAATAGGCCACTATCTTAAGATTACAAATAGCCTTTCAATTTAAACTTCCAAACAATTTTATGCTATAGGAAAGTAAATGAGTAAAGTAGAAGGCTATAGTAAATGTATGAAGCTGACTGTTTACCTAGCTAAGTTTTATGAATTCTTTCCATCTCACTCCTCCCATAATAATTATATTTAGTCAAGAACGCTCCAATTAGGATTTTCTTTAACTTTAATTTCAGCCAGGCTCAACATAATAATTACCACAAAAGCTTTACAGATACACAACAGATAAAAGAAAATTATTAGCAAACTAACTGTAAGCTTACTCTTATAAAATATGATGGTCATTTTTACTTTCACCATAAATTTAGCCAAATATGTTGTTATCATCTAACAACATACTCTTTTTCTGATTCTCCTGCAGTATTCAAAACCTAGTAGACAACATAAGACAAGATCAAACCCAAAATACCATTTAGATTTTTGGATTTCTTTATAATTTATAATACCTGTGAAATCTATAAAAGGTGGCAGAATTATTTAGAGAGATTACACTGTTTCATTACAACAGCATGAAAGCTGCAATTTGAGAGCATACAAGTCCTATTTTGTGTGTGTTAGATTTCAAAGGCACCAACAATAATTTTTATACTGCTTTGTTCTTCCAACAGAATTTATTCTAAAGAAGACTGTAAAGTTTCATGACATGTTCATTTTATTCCTGTCATCTGCTAATAGAACCCATCAAAATAGGGTAGAGCATTTCCACCCAATTATTTCTAAATAAGTATGCCTTTAAGACCTATCTAAAGGTTGTCCTTTCCATAGAAATACACAGCTAAGACTCCCATGAGTTGCTGCACATTATATTAACTTAATCTTTGACTGACAATTCATATTTATTCAATTTAGAATTGATATAAGCCTCTTTTTTCTTCTCTTTCTGCCTAAGTCAAGCTGTCATTCATAAGAATTTCAGTCCTTTCATTGAGAAAAACATGTTTTCTAATTCTATTAGCTAAGATTAAATAAAAATCTGATCATCAGAAGAACTAATGATTGAACAAAGCAATAGAACAATTTCTACTGTTTATCAAACGACTGTCTAAATCTTCAAGTTCAGTCAGGAAAAAAAGAGGACAAGGGCAACATAAAAGAAAAAGTTCACATAGTTGGTTGGAACACAAGTAAGATGAGCTCATGAAAAGTACAGAATTCCCAAAAGGTAAATTAATTGCCTGCAAAAGAGCTGAAAAAGTAGAAGCAAAAAATAATAATAATAATAACAGATTCCAAATTACAGACTCAATTTTAAAGCAGAAAAAAACCTAATTTAGAAAACCTAATAGTCTTCTTTCCACTTTTTAGTGATGAAGAAACTGAGACCCAGATACATAAAGCCACAGCTGAGCCCAGGATCCAACTCTTTCTCCACGTTATCATAAAATCTACACACTAACAATCACCAACCACTCATTCTTATCTCTCTCATATCATCTTCTACCTTCCTCTCTCTCTCATTCCAACCCCAGGCACAATGCCCCTCTGCAGCTTCTTAAACATAACAGGCAAGACTTAGGAGTTTTGCAATTGGTATTCTTTTGGCCTGGAATCCTGCACTTACTTACCCACTCCAAAAACACCTGAACCCCTAACCATATTCACCTGGTTGCTCCCTTATTCCCTTCAAGTATTGAACATAATTAAAGCAGTATGACTTCAATAACCATTCTAAAATTGCAACCCCCTCACCACAGCAATAAAAATTTCCTATTCTCCTTCCCAATTTTTCTTTTTTAATATCTGCATCAGTATTCATCATACTATACATTTACTTATTTGTTTATTATGCTTCCCCCACTAGAATGTAAATTCTATGAGGATAAGGAATTTAATATGTTTTGTTCACTACTATATGCATAGAACCTACAATAGTAGGCAGTTGTTGATTCCCTAGTCCATCCGAAATTCTTATTTACTGAATCTGGGCTGGGGTCCAACAACTGCATATGTAAAACTCTACGGTATAAGATGACCAGAATGTGAAAAATGGAAATATGGGTGATAGAAGAGAGAGATGAAAATTTGCTAAAAGGACCTATGACTTGAGACCAGCAGGATCATGGTAATGAACACCTACATTAATCATAAGTATAGGCTCTTTTTAAACTTTTAAAAATAATGAACACTCTGCCATATAAGTAAATAGTAAATACTGCAGGTAACATGTACACAAAAAAACTTACTCACTGTTTATCAGAAATTCAAATGTAATCAGTGTCCTATATTTTTTGTTTGCTAACTCTGGCGTCAATACCCAGCATCTCTTCAAAACAGAAGAGCCAAATGATTCAGTTAAAACATAAACCAGATTGTGTTATTTTACTCAACCCCCTCTTTGCCAACATTCCCCCATTTCACTCAGGTAAAAACAAAAGCGCTCATGACCATTCACCAGATTCATTATATCTAGCCAGTTCTTCACTCATCTCTTGCCCCAAGCTCTATTATTTCTCATTATCTCTTACTCCTTTCTCCATAAATATTTCACTATAACTTATTCCTAATTTTCACTATCTCTTACTTCTTTCTCCAGAAGCCACATGAGCCTTCTTACTATTTCTGGAATAGTAAGCTAGCATGTTCCTACATATTGGACTTTGTACTGGCTATTCTTACTCTCTGATACACCCTTTACCTCCTAGAGTCATACAGCATACTCTCACCTCCTTCTACTCAAATGCAATCTTTTCATTGTAAACCGACACTCAC